TCTTCTTCTTCTTCTTCTTCTTCTTCTTCTTCTTCTTCTTCTTCTTCTTCTTCTTCTTCTTCTTCTTCTTCTTCTTCTTCTTCTTCTTCTCTTCTCCTTCTCCTCCTCCTCTTCCTCTTCCTCTTCTTCCTCCTCCTCCTTATTATTATTATTATTATTATTATTGTTGTGAATCATCGAGTAGGAACCAATCCATAGCTGACCCTCTGGTGGATTTTCAGAGGCTGTTAATCACACAGGAGGAGATTGTCCATCTTTTTTCGGTGTAGCATCTGGTGGCTTCTAACTGCCTGCATTCAAGATTGCAGCGCAGCTTCTTTCCACGAGGCCAATACAATTAATAATAAAGTCACTGGACTTTCAGGAAAGGAATGCGCATCTCGGGAAAGAGCTTTAACTGATCATCTCAGTTATCTATACTGGTCTTCACATTCTCTAGGCCATGTACGGAAAATGGGGCCCACAGAAGACAACCATTCAAGAAGTGAAGAAACAAACTCAAGGCAGTGGTGCAGGACAGGGCAAGGTTCACATCTGGCACAGGGTTGCCGGGTCACAGTCAATTCTGCAGCACCTGACAACCAGCAGTGTTAATAGCTAACATTTTCTTCTTAAAGTACATCCTGGGTTCAGAAGCTGATGAGCGTCCTTCCTTCTGAGAGACTGTCTGACGTGGTTTACATTATTTCACACATCCCCAATAGGTCAAAATGCAAATCTTTGTAAAGACCCTATCTGGCAAGACCATCATTGTGGAGGTGGAGCCAAGCGAAGATGCGGGACAAGGAGGGCATCCCACCTGACCAACAGCAGCTAATCTGGGAGATGGCCACACTCTTCCTAATTACAATATCCAGAAAGATCTCTGCAACTTTGTTCTTCATCTGAGGGGTGGCTGTTCATTACTCTTCAGTCTTAGGTTCAAAGTACCCAAAGAAGGCATTACTTTGTCCTATAGCCTTTTATCCCAATTCAAGTTTAGAATTACCAGTTTCAGTAACAGCTGAGCCTATTAAAAATGTTAATAAAGGTTTTGTTGTATGGTAGCAAACATTTTAAAACGCACACCCTGGGCATGCCATTTCACCTAATCACTCCAGGATGGAGCTATAAAATTGAAACATCTTATCAATGCCACTGTCACAACAAAGTCCAGAATCATCACCTAGGATTGATTAAGATATAGATCATATTCTTACATTGACCCAATTCTCTCAAAAATTGTTCTTAGAGTTGGCTCAAATAAAGACAGAAACAGGGTCATGCGTGACATGTGTTACTGACTTTTGCGGGACTGGCAGAGCCCTGCTACTTGAGGAAGCTCCATTGCCCTGCCAAACCACAGGCAGGAGGTTCAAAGCCACCAGCTGCTCTGTGGGAGAAAGAAGGGCAGTCTCCTCCTGTGTTAGTTACAGCCTCAGAATACCCACGGGAGAGTTAGGTATAGGTGGGTTCAGCTGGACTGGCAATGGGTAGTAGTAATATATGATGGTAAACACTCTCAGAGCTCTTTCTTCTCTAACTCTGGCTGCCCCACCTGGGCAGGCATGGCCCAAAGGGACAGTCAAACGTGCACTGTGTTCAAGCCTGAACTTCCACTTCTCCCCACAGGGCCCAATCTCAACTGCCCCTCAGCTGGGAAGGCTGGAGAGGAGAGACAGGGAGGGAGCAGAGTACTGCCAGTCCTTTCTCACTACTCATGTGCTGTGAGATGAGACCAGAAGGCAACAAAACCAGTGAATGTGGGAAGTGGGAGGAGGAGGAGGAAGATTCAAAAGACCAAAGATCCTGGAGAAGCCACAGCCCTGCCTATGAATTCAGGCAAATTACTCCACCCTCCCTGGGTGGTTGTGAAGATTAACAGGATAATGCACATAATACACAAGGCAGAACATAAAGAAAGTGCTCACAAAATAGTATCAGTTAGGATAAGCTGGTGCCAGAGGTACAGATAAAATGCTGTTCAATGAAGTGAAATTCTGACCACTTTGAACGGGGCTTTGTGGAAAAGCTGCCATTGGAGCTTGAGCTTAATCCAACCTACCTCATTTGCAGGCATCTGTGCCCAGCTGGACCCTGGAGCAGAGCCTGAGAGGCGGGTGGATACCTGCTTTTTCCACGTGCATGTGAGGCAAGACCCCGACACAGGCTCGCTGGGGTGGCAATACACTGCTGTCCAGTCCTGTCCGACTCACAGCAACCCCTCCATGGGTCTCCCAAACAATTAGGAGGAGACCATCCATCTGTTTCCAGCAGATGTTATTTGTTTTTCCCTTTTTGCCAGGATAAGCTGTTAGATAGATTTAAACTATGATCTTTCCTCTTTGTCCCTTGGTTTGCATTTTTAAAGTAATGGAGCAAACATGGGGGGGTTGTGAGCAGTGGAGCTGACTGGGTCTAGGACTGGGATGGTGTATAAAGTAGCAGGTCCCCTGACTCTGTAGACTTCTGTTCTATTCATGCTCACTGCCAAGCTCATCTTTCTCAGCTCAAGGACTTACCAACAGGCCCCTCTCCCTGCATTTCCCAAGCCCCTACCCCCTAACTCCTCCCTTCCTTACCAACCTAAGAGTTGCTTCAACCTGAAATACACTGCAGCTTCCCCATCCAGTCACCAAGCCTCTCCCTCGGAGAATGCCAGGGGTCCTCCAGAAAACCTAAAGGATTATTTACATACATACCCTCTTATCTGCAGAGTCTTTCTGGAAAGACTTCCCCCAGCCTTTGGGAGGCCAGATGCCAGGCAGGGTGGGCCCCCTCTGGGTGTGGGGATCCAGGACTGAGCAGTCTCTCACTCTCACCTTAGCCCTGGGTGGGGCTCAGTCCCAGCTCTTCTATTTCTCCCCCTTGCCTCTTGCTTTCCCCTCCCTCTCCTTGGATCCCTGTGTCTAGTCAACCCGGCTGCCCCTTAGGGAATGCTGTCAAGAACACGCTGGGGTGATAACCAAGAGGACTGAGCTGCGGAAGAACAAAGAAAGCACTTGCCAGAGAGCAAAGGCCTGGATGCCAACTAGATGTTCCAACTAATTTGAGTCATTTTCAGTAGACTTTCCATTCGACTCATTTTCAGTAGACTCCATTTGAGTTTCTGATAAACAAACTCAGTCCTTATTCTTAGCTTCTGCTCCCTGTCTGACCCCTGTCCACCTTTCAATAGCCACTTCATTTCCCCCTAAATGCTCTCAAATAATTTCTCCATTCTCTGAATCCAAAGAAAACATAAACGTTTTAAAGTCAGGTCCTTTAAAAAACATAGTTCAAACTCATTCTACTGACGAAAAAGCCCAAGAGATATTCGAATTGCTACTCTCTCAAGAAAATAGCTCAATAAAAACGAATGGGGGCAGTGTCTCGGGGAGACCAGTGTTGATTTCCCGAGGCCTCAGTCACTCCATTTATAAAATGGGCACGCTCTCTCAGGACCATAAGAGGCTTGGTGAACGTCAAAGGGCGAAAGGTCAATTCCGGAAAAATGCTAACTGCAGCCCGCAGGGGCTGTGTTTCGTAAATTAACCCTTGACCGGCCTTTGGCCAAACGGCGGCTCAAGGATCCACTCCCAGGCCCGTCCTATTAGACCCTCGATGCTCTCCGGGGCTGCCCGCACCTTCCGGGCCGAGAGGCACGAGAGGAAGGGCAGGAGCCTCGGCCAGCTCGGCCTTACCCTGCCAGCTCCAGAAGTAAACTCGGGAGGCTGATGCCCCGCGCGCTGCGCGCCCTCAGCAGGGCGGAGATCTGTGGCAGCTTGAGCGCCGCGCACACCACCAGCGTGCTCCAGTTGCAAAACCACAGCAGCCAGGTCTCCATGGCGCCACCCGGGAGCCGGGGAGGTCGGGGGTGGGGGCTCAGCGGAGGGGCGAAAGAGGGTTACTTCTCGCTTAACCTCTAGGCACCACCCAGTTCTTCCGCCTTTTCGCGGGTGCCCAGCCCCATGCTCACCCCGCCTAGCCCTAGGTTAGCTCCGCCCACAGACCCGGCATCGCCCTCCCCTCCCCGCCTCTATCCAGATAGCCCCGCCCCAACCTTAGATAGCTCCATCCTCATTGCTTCTCTCCAGATAGCCCGCCCCACCCCGGCCCTAGTTAGCCCCGCCCCTGAATGAAATAGCCCTCTCTCCCAGTATAAAGTAGCCCCGCCCAGGCACAGGATATCCCCTCCCCGGCATGGGATCTCCCCGCCCCTCCCGGTCCCGCCCAGACCCGGGAGAGCCCCCGCCCCGGCTGTTCTCAACCCTCTGTGCCTGCTGATTGATTGCCTTTTCTGAGATCAAGGGGTCTTACCCTTTAGGTGCTATCCAGACAACCTTGCATGTCCCAGGTCGTCAGAGGGGCACTTTCACTCGCTCACAAGGGAATTCTTTTTACGGGAGTTTTTGCTCTGAAACGTGGTTTATCGTTTGTTTATTTTTCTCAACAAGTATTTCAGAGATTCCAACTTGAATTATGCATAGTCTCCTCACTGTATCCACTGTACATTGTGCACACTGTACACTGCACACACTGGGAGAAGGAAGGTTGAGGAGAACTTGATCACATGGAAGCTTGAAAAGCCAAAGTAAACAAACAAATGCCAAACAACAGGCTTTAAAAAACCCAAAGCCTGTAGGATTTGTTCTTTAGACCTGAATGCCTTATAGCCTCAAGAGTAAATGTTCTTTCTAAGGGAGATGAAATACAATTCTTTTGATTAAAGAAAATAACGTGAATGTGATCCTCTTGAGAGAAGCAGAAAGTGATGAATTTTCTAGTTTCTGAAATCTCATACATACAGTATATAAAAACGACAAAACATTAGTCACTGAATAAATTACTCCTACAGGCTATTCTTTAGGGCAGTACAACTTTTAAGGCTGCAGCGTTTAGGGGAGCAAGCTGCCATATCTTTCTTCCACAGAATGATGGAGTTCCAATCTCTGACGGTTTGGATTAGCAGCAAAATGTTTAACCGCTTTGCCACCAGGGCCATGCAAAAACCTCAAACTCACTATCATCAAGTCCAAACCTACACATAGCTGACCCTCCAGTGAGATTTCAAAGGCTACACATCCCAGAAGAGGAAATTCCCCATTTTCTTCCAAGGAGCAAGTAGATTTGAACCAGCCACCTTTGGGTTGGCAGTGCAGCTCCTTATCCACCAGACCACCAGAGCTCCTCATGCATTTTGTTTTGTTGTTAGGTGCCATCAAGTACAATTTGTAGTGACTCTATGAACAGCCTATCTGAATCCTGTTCCATCCTGAGCCATCCTCATCATCTCTGACACATTGAGCCCATTGCTACAGTGATGGTGCCAATCCATCTCATTTGGGGGTCTTTTCTCTTTCGCTGACCCTCAACTTTTCTAATTATGATGTCCTTTTCCAAGAAACAGCCTTTCCTAGAAACATTTCCAAAGTATGAGAAATGAAGCTTCACCATCTTTGCCACCAATGAGCAATCTGACTGCAATCTGTTTGTTCTTTTGGCATTCCTTAAGATGGTCAACACTCTTCTCCAACACCATGACTCAAAGGCATAGATTCTTCTGTCATCCTTATTTATTATTCAGCTCTCAGATGTATAGCAAGTGACTGAAAAGACCATGGCCTTGGTCTGTACTTTAGTGTTTAAATGGACATCAGTGCTCATTAGTATTTTGGAGAGATCCCTAATAGCAGAATACATCTCCTGACCTCCTGATCTGCTGGTATCAAGCATCATAACAAATTATGGCTAACACTGGGAAGATTAGGAATCCCAGAACACTTAATTGTGCTCATGCCAAATCTATGCCTAGATCAAAAAGCTGTTGTCTGAACAGAGCAAGGAACACTGCATGTTTTAAAATCAGGGTGTGTGTCCGAGATATATCCTTTCTCTATACCAATTCAATCTGAATGCTGAGCAAATAATTTGTGAAACTGGACTCTATGAAGAGGAATGTAGCATCAGAATCAGAGGAAGACTCATCAACAGCTTACAATGACACGACCAAGTGAGGAGGACTTGAAACTCTTGCTGCAGAAAATCAAGGACGATAGCCTTCGGTTTGAATTACAATCTCAACATTAAGAAAACAAATATCTTCACCACTGGGCCAATAGGCAACATCATGATAGATGGAGAAAAGATTGAAGTTGTGGATTCTTTCCTCTTGCTTGGATCAACAATCAACACCAACATAGATCCTGTTTATAAAAACAAATGGAGGGGGGGACCGCAAAAATGTAACACCAAAATCTCCCGTAACTTGTTCTGAGATGTCTATAAATGTCTCAGTCCTGAAGTTTGGGGTACTAGGCACTCAAGCACACAGTTTCTGATCTCCAGAGACTTTCCTGTGCTCCCCAGCCCCCATAATCTCCTCCTCCGATTTCTTCCTGTGCCCTCATCCAGCCTTCACTAGACCATGGCCTCCCTTCTAATTATGAGTACATGGAAGCAATTATACCACTATCTCTATCTTATAGAGTCATGATGACCCAAGTGGCCTAGTGGATATGGAGCTGCACTGACAAAGGCAGGAGGCTCAAAGCCACCAGCTGCTCTGTAGGAGAAAGATGTACAATCTCCTCCGCTGTCATTTCCAGCCTTTGAATACTCGCTGGAATAGATTCAGGCAATGTGTAGTGAGTGAATTGAAAGTTTAAACCTACAAGCCACTCTGAGAGAGAAAAATGAGGCAGTCATTCCTGTATCTTTTTTTCTTTTACTTCTTTTCAGGGAAAAGCAAAGTCTCTCTAACCATAAATTAGGCAGTCACATTTCCCACATTGGGGATATCACAGGGTTCAGCACATCTGGAATGCAACAGACGAGGCTTACCCTAGGAAAACCACCTTCATGACCTTGATATCTCTCCTGCCAGGTAAGTAATCCCATGCCCTTGAATGTCATTAGTTGACGCCAAGGTGATTTGCATAAGGATCAAATATCACAGAGTACAACTGTCTCATAGGATTTCCTAGGCGGTGGTCTTCATCAGAACAGACCACTGGATCTTTTCTCCCTTGGAGAATTGATGGCTCTGAATGCCAACCTTTCTGTGAGCAGTCTAGCACTTAAACATTGCACCCTCAGGGCACAACATGTGTTTCTTGCTTTTGTGATGTCACTGCTTCCAATGTACTCAGGAGACAGAACTAGGACACACACATCTCACACAGCACACACGTACACATAGATAGTGACCGTGCGTGTGCAACACCCCCGCCCCCAGATATACACACATATTTCAAGACATATTGACACAGTGGCAGCAACAACAGACTCAAGTACATCTCCAGTTATGACGATGGGATGGGATTAGCCAGTGTCTGGTTCTGTTGTTCACAGGGTAGTCGTGAGTTAGAGCCAACTTGACAGCTTCTAACATGCTTGTATACATATTGTTGTTGTGTATCGCTGGGTTGGATCTGACTCAGAGCTGACCCTCTAGCAGGTTTTCATTGGTGGTAAATCATACTGGAGGAGAGTGCCCATCTTTTTCCCACAGAGCAGCTGGTGGATTCGAACCGTGTGCCTTTGGGTTGGCATCATAGCTCCTTACAACTAAGCTACCAGAGCTTGTGCGTATATGTGTGTAGGAGTCCTAGTGGTGAAGTGAGGTAAGTATTGTGCTGCAAAGCCGCTAGAACCCACAAGTCCCTAGTAGAAAGATGTGACAGTCTGTTTCTGTAAAGATTTACAGGCTTGAGACCCCATGGGGATTTCTACTCTGTCCTCCAGGGTGGCTACGAGTCAGAATTGACTCAGCAGCAGCAGCTATATAGATGTGAGCAAATGCATAGACACGCATACAAGTACATATGCATAAACATACTTACAGGTAGGGATTGACTCAGTCACTGGGGCAATGGGGGTAGGTGGATCAGAGACAGTAAGGTCGGTACAGGACAGAGCAGGGTTTAAGGCTCTTGTACATAGGGTCACTATGAGTCACAAGTGACTTGACAGCACCTAATAATAACAACAACAAAAACATATATACATATACTGAATCAGAATCGTTCTTTTAACAAGATGTCCAGATTCAGATGTAGTGTCGAGGTGCAGACTCACGGGCTCCAGTACGTGGGAAATCTTTCATAAATATTGATCATCTTAGCCTAACTTTTGCTAAGTGCATAATGGGCAGCAGTGAGTTTGAAATAATACAACCTGACATTGATTTAAAGTGAAACTAATCTCTGAAGACAGCTAAGTAGCTAAATGCAGGATTTCCTTTTTCATAGTTGGTTGACCCAAAGATAGTGCTGTCATCATCTTATAAAAATTAAAGTCACTCAGGAGAAGGTTATCCTAACTTTTACCACTACCCCTGGGAACTAAAATGACCCCAATACTCTTCTTTGAGTCCAAGATGACATGCTTGGAAATTTGTTTGTTGTGATAAAGTCTAAATGAGTCCTGAATTAATAATGCAGACAGGGCCCAGGGAGACATCAGAACTTTGAAGGATCAGGAAGGTCCCTACTAAGAAGAGTGTATCAATTTGGTTCAATCACAGACCTTAGAATCATCCTCTGTGTTCAGCTGGAGTATTACAAGGTCTGAGGCAGTACTGAGAGCTCTGGTCATGTAGTCCACAGAGCATTGCCCTGCTAATGCAGAGACTACACCCCTCTGATGGTCTGAATCATCAGCTTCTCTGAGGGTGAAAGTTGGGATAAATGATTTATAGCCTTGGAAACTCAATGGAAGGTCAGCTATAAGTTCAGACTTGACAGCAATGAGTTTTTGTTTTCGATGGAGAGGAGATTAAGACTGTCAACAGCTTCATCTTGCTTGGATCCACAAGTAACACCCTTGGTAAGAGTAGTCAGGAAA